AATAGGCATTTAGGAAAAAAAATAATAAGACAAATAATAATGGAGGACATGAGGTGGGGGAGTAGTAAGGCAGGGGTGGAAGAGAGGTTGGAGGTGGGAGGGAGCCTAAGTATGGTCAAAATACATTGTATTAAATTCTGGAATCAATAAGTGGAATGTCAACATCTATGACCTAGCTATCAAATTGACAACACATTTCTGAGAATCAAGCATTTAAATTTCTGAAATTTCTAGCCAGGTCTTATGGTTTGAATGTGAAATGTCCTCCCCACCAGCTCATGTGCTTTAACACTCTCTACCTAATGATGGCATTTGGGGAGGTTGTAGAACCTTTGGGGCACGGGGCATGGCTGGCAGATAGAGGGGCCACTCTGAGTTTTCGCTCTCTGCTTCCTGTTTGCCACTGAGCTGTACCAGCCACCCTACGCTTCTGCTCCACCACCAGGGACTAGAGAAGTCCTGCTGCCATGCCTTCCGTCATGATGAACCGTGAGGCACAGCAAGCCTCTCCTGCATGAAGCTGCTTCTGTGATGAGGAAGTAATCAGCCCTGGGTGTGGAGGTGCACCTGCCGTCCTAACACTGGGAGGCTGAAGCTGGAGCACAGTAAATTTTAAGGTCAGACTGGCTACCTACTGAGACCCTATGTCTGAAAACAAAACCAAGTTCCCAGACTGAATATTCCTTGTGATGCCGTTTCTGCTCTTCCATCTTCCTTGCTGTCACATTCTAAAATTGTGATGACTGCGGCAGTGTCCTACTTATGGCTAGCTTTCTAGGCTAAGAAAGAAATACTGAGCATGTATGCTTGCTGCACTTCCCCAAAGTGTAGAAATATGTAGATTAACTCACATAGATACTCCCTATTTATATAGTTGTAAACTCAAGGTTATACTGCACTATTTTCCTTTTTATTTATACACAAATATTCTGAATTTGATAATATACTTTAGCATTTTGCTCAGTGTAACATTTTTATTTTGGAAAAAAAATAAGAATACAAAAAACAAAATACAAAGCCAGAGAATTAGAAAGGATTTATCACAGTTCTATTATGTCTGGTACAATAATAATAATAATAATAATAGTAATAATAATAATAGATCTGGAAAGTCAGATCAGTGGTTAAGAGTACTGGCTGCTCTCGCAGAGGACCCAGGTTCAGTTCCCAGCACCCACTTGACAGCTAACAACTGTCTCTAACTCCAGTTCCAGGAGTTCTCTTTTGGCCTCTGCAGGCATTGCATGCATGTGGTGCAGGCAAAACACCCATACACATAAAATAAAACAATAAGGAAAGGAAAAGGAAATGAAGAAAGGGGGTAGAGAGATGGCTCAGCAGTTAACAACATTGCTGCTCTTCCAGAGGACCTGAGGTCTGTTCCCAGCACCCACATAGGGCAGTTCACAACCACCTCTAACCAGCTCCAGGGAAGCTGACATGTATATATCAATAAAAAGAGAAGAGAAAGGGATAAAGGAAAGGAGAAAAAGAGGGAGGGAAGGATGGAGGCGGGCCACTTACATTTCTAAAGCTTCCATACAATTTACCCTGGAAAAGAGCAGTAAGAATACAGTAAATCACATGCTAATCTTGTTAGGTATCTCACATGTGCCACTAGGAACATGCCACAAGCCCCTACTTCCATCTTCGACTCCAAATTCAGGTGCCCAGGGCCCCACAGCGCAGGGGCAGGCACCCAGCATTCCTTCCACGCAGCCTAGACTACACAGTTCCTCTTCCCACACTCTGTAACCCTTACACTTCACTTCCACTTACCAAATTCTAAATGCAAACCCAGCACTTGTAGCTATACATACTGAAGAAGTGATAGTCTGTAATGCAAAAATCAGTGCTAATATTAAAAGCCAATGTACCTAGGCTAGGGATGTGCTCAGTGGTAAAGTGCTTGCCTAGCATGTGCAAGGTTTTAGTTTGGATCCTCAGAACCAAGAAAAAATTTAAAAACAAAGTAAGGATGTAAACATCTAAAAATACAATGATAAACACTTCTGTACATTTAAAATTTTTAATGAAGTTTGGTTATGTTTAAACATTTTCATTTAGATATAATATGGATCCAATTCCTAAATATCTGCTATACACAGGAATTAAAGGAAAAAAAAAACTGCTCTCCCATAATTAGGCATGATTAAAATTTGTCAGTTTTGCAAGGTAACCGGCACACCCGGTTAGTGCTGACCTGGCTCTAGGACAGTCTGGGAATTTCAGTTCCAAGGTGGGTCTCTGCTGGAACCACATGAAGCCAATGCACACATAAAGGAAGTCTTACACACCTGATGTTCAAGTCACATGGGATAGAGTACTGGCTAATAAAGAACTTCTTAAATTTGAAACAACTCATTCTAAAAACAATCTATGATTATTTATCCCCCAAATCCACTAAGGTTAGGTGAACTTGCAATGCATTCACTTTTAAATACTCAATATACCTACAGCCTATTATAATTTCTCCATATTCTTTATTGGTTATAAAAGCCAATTTATGACATTCTGTATTATACTATAAACACTGACCAAGCATCAAGTCATTCATGTAAATTAATCTCTGATGAGCTGAGAGGAGGTTGGTTTTATAAACCGAGGTTGATGACAGAACAAATAGGAAGCACTTCAAAGTTAGGGAGACAGGACATTAGAAAACAGCTGGACAAAGCACTTCAAAGTTAGGGAGACAGGACATTAGAAAACAGCTGCTTAACATCAAGTTACTTTTTTGTGAGGATTAAGGCAGAGAACACCTAATTGTCATACTGATTGAAATGAGATTGTTTGGGGAATTTGGGCTATTATCTCTCTTCTGATTTCTCTCAAGTTCCAGGAGGAACTTTCTGGTGACATGAACTTGCTCTGTGGAGGCTAGTACAGAAGCCTAGTCCAAAACAATGGGCTCCTGTACTACTTTTTTCCCCAGAAAAGTTTAATGGGTTTATTTATAATTGTTTTAAAGTTGAACTGTTGAAACATTTTGACTTGCATTAATGCTTTATACCCTGCATTTATATTAAAAATCCACAGAGATGAAAATCAACTGCCATACCTGATTTCTGCATTCACAAACATATATGTAGGTATTTTGACCCATGGGAAAAAATATGTAACATTCAGAACTACTCTCAAGAGATAAAAAGGGAAAAATTATGCTTTTAGAATGAAATGTTTCCCCTCATAGAGGATTCTTAAGCATACTCTCCGTACACGGTGTGCTAGCTAGGTATCTTTTGGCACGGTCGTCACACCTTTGGCATGCAAAGCACACAGGTTGGTTATCTTCAAGGCCAACAAGATAGGCCTCACTGCTTACTGCAAAGCACCAGCAGCCAAACCCTGGAAGTGAAAGTCTGTTTTGCTGAGCAATTTCTCCCAGCAGACACTGGAAGGGGAGTGTCTGAATTAGAAGTTCAGTGAACTAACAATGGCATCTAGTTTCAGGAGTGCCACAGACCTGTGACAAGGTTTTTTTCACCTTTCCAATAGAGAGCGCGCTCTTGCGAGCAGCTTTTGTAGCCAGTTTCCTGGGTGCTTTACCACCCAGTGCATTTGTAGGCAGTCTGCTTTGTACAGGCCATGGTAAAAGACACTTCCTTACTTACCTTTCTCCTTTCAGCAAGTGAGAGATGGTTGCTGGTGTTAGAAAGGGACAGCAAGGCATCAGGGCAGTGGGGACAGCCTTGGGAACATTGTTATTATACTTTAATGCCTGTGCTGGTTAGTCTTTGTCAACTTGACACTAACTAGCAACACCTGGGAGGGAACCTCAACTGAGGCATCTCCTCCATCAGACTGGCCTGTGGCCATGTCTGTGGGGCATTTTCTTGATTGTCCAGTGATGTGGGAGGGCCCAGCCTACTGTGGGTAGTGCCATCACTGGGCAGGTGGGCCTGGCTTGTATAAGAAAACAGGATGAGCACAGGCCAGGGAGTCAACATGGTAAGTAGCATTCCTCCCTGGCCTGTGCTTCAGCTCCTGCTTCCAAGTTCCAGCCTTGGGTTCCTGCCCTGACTTCCCTCAAAAATAAGACTGTGCTTTGGAAGTATAAGGTGAAATAAACCCTTTGTTCCCCAAATGGTTTGTGAGAGTGTTTTATCACAGTAACAGAAAACAAACTAAAACCGAACCCACACCCAATTGTAAGCTACCTACCTTTTAAGCAAACTACACAGCAACCCTGCAGTTACCCATTCACCTGGTTATTATACATCTTCCTGCCTAAAGGCAATGAAAGCTTTTAAAAATGATCCTTTCATTTACCAGTGAACTCTATTAGAATTCATATATACACTGGAATCTCTTTGAATGTCCCAAGAGAATCCAATTCTATTGCAGGGATGAGCATTAGGAAATCACCAGGAGCTCACTTCTGGTTGACCCACACTTCTCATGCTCCCAGGTAGCCAAACAGTCAGTTACTACATGTCCTTGACCAAGCCGGTACAAGCAAAGCACTCGGCTGAACACTGGCGATTCAAAGCACTCAGCACTCATACAGGAACACAATGAGAAAAGACAATCATGTGGGCATCAAGCAGTGTTTTGCTATTTAAATCATCAAACTCAGGATTTACCATTTTGCTTAGTGTTAGAGTTTATCAACACAATTTACTTTAAAAGTATTCTAGAGGCCTAAAACAAATTAGAAGATGAAAGATGGGACTAAATATTGTGTTGCTTTTTTCTAATGCATTAAACTATCCAGTGATAAATGATTATTTAAATTTAGCTCAGGCTGGCCTAGTACTCTAGCTTCCTTGCCTCAGCCTCCCAAGTGCTGAAATGACAGGTTTACAGCACTTGACCTTTCAAATTTAATTGCTCCCTCACATATGAAGAATTCTGGATACCTTTTGACAGAAGACTGGCCTTTTTCCAGAGCCACTCTGTGTTCTCTTTACATGCTAGCTCTGCACAGTATTAAAAAGTAGGATCATCAAGAAGGAAATCTATCATAGTAACCATCCCACTAAGAAGATGAAATACTATGAAGAAGTAAATTTTACTGTTTATTTCTTCGTTACACAAAGACAATTAAACATGCGCCACACCATCGTAATCCACCCTCTATGTCATTTTGCCACGTTAACACACACTGTCAAACTGCGTCACGAGTCCAACTCAGGGTCAAGTTTTTCCACTTTGATGACTATCTCTGGAGTTAGGGCCACAGCTGGGTGACCCTCTGCCTCTGCCTCCGACAACACTTCCTCCTTGATCTTCATGGACTTCCCTCTGGCCTCCTCCTCATCTGAGGATTCATCGAGCTCCCATTCGTCGTCGATGTCCATTTCAAACACTCTCACATGACGGAGGTTTGAGCTTAGCTAAAGAAAAAAGGCCAGATGAAGACTTCTTAAATGAATGGCTTAAAAAATTCATTTTATATTAAGGAATTCAAGTCAGAAGCTTGAATCAAAGACTGGCTTTATAGGAAAGTCATATTCCATTCATTTACTGAAAAGCCACCCAACTACGCTTTCACTTTCTATCAAGGAACTCCATAACAATTCCTAAGACTAGCAAAATCCAGAATTGCTTTTCTCTACTTAGCTTTCTCAGAAAAAGAAACTGAACACTTAAGGCCTGTAAACAGTGTTCCTCCATGGTCTGTGCCCCTACATGCCCACAATCAATAGACACTCTGACTCACACAATGACATAAGCACACATATCATACATTTCATGAAGGCTGTACAGAAGGCCACATGCTGCCTTGTCTACAACACTTACCACACAGGACACTTTTCGAAAGCCATTCCCAGCCACATACTGTGCTCTCATACTTTCCAGTAACCTCCAGTGCTTCTCAAAATGCATGGTACGTGTGGGAATGATGCTGCACTGTTCATCCAGCCTAGAAGAAAAACCAACCAGGAATCAAAAGGGACCCCTCCTCCCTGGATTAGGGATGTCTACTTCTATCCATACTCCCATCCTCAATGGAAGTCTAGTAGTCACTGAATTGACAGTTGTGAGGACAGTCCATATAAGCACTGCGGTTCCAAACAGAATACGATGCTAGTAAGGCTTTCATTTCCTTTCAAGGAAAGAAATAAGACATATTTTATAATTAGAGAGAATCTAGCTATTTAAACCAGTCAACTAAACCCAACTCTTAGAACAAATACTTTCAGCATGAACAATGAAGCCCTAATTCTGGAAAATACTCAACACAAAATCTAAACTGATTAATTCTACTACCAACTAAGGTTAACAGTACCCTAGAAAAATGGGACTAAGAGGTCCCATTCTCCTAGCCAAATAATTCTCCAGCTAAATTAACAAATTAGCTCCTCCCTCTTCCTTCTCCGTCTCCCTCTCCCCTCCTCTCCCCTTTCCCCTGTCCTCTCCCCTCTCCCATCCTCTCCCCTTTCCCCTGTCCTCTCCCGTCTCCCTCTCCCTCTCCTCCCTCCCCACTCAGTCTCTCTCTCTTCCTTTGGTCATTTTTTTAAGACAGGCTCTCCCTGTAGCCCCAGCTGGCCTGGAACTTGCTATGAAGACCAGGCTGGCCTGGATCTCACAGTGATCCACCCACCTCAGCCTCCTGAGTGCTGGGACTAAAGGTGTGCACCACCACACCCAGCTTCTCCATCTACTCTTAAAGCAAAGGAGGAAAGCTATTAGTCTGCATTTTCAATTTTTAAATTTAAAAAATTTTCAATTTATGTGCATGCATGTGTGCATGTGTCTGAGTATGGTTATGGTATGGGTATGGGTATGGGTATGAGTATGTGCACGTGCATGAAGGTGCCCACAGCCAGAGGCATCAAATCCCATTGAGCTGGAATTACAGGTGATTTGATTATAAGCTGCTCAATGTAGCTCCTGGGAATCAAATTCTGGTCCTCTGTATGAAAAGTACGTGCTCTTAACTGTTGAACCATCTCTCCAGCCTCCAAAGTCTGCATTTTAAAAATACAAAGTAAGCTGGGCTTGGCAATCCCAGGATCTTGCAAGCTGTGAGGCAGGAAGATCACAAGTTACTACTAGAGTACAGGGCTACAGAGTGTGTTCAAGGCCAGTCTGAGCAACTTAGTGAGGCTGTCTCAAAATAAAAAGCGGGTTAGAAATACAGATCAGGAGTAGGACACTTGCTTAGTTTGCAGGCAATCCAGGGTTCAATATCCAATACCACAAAAACAAAACAGAAAATTAAAGACAAAAAAAAAAATCAAAATAGGAACATTTCTGCCCAGCTGCCTTTATGGGTATCCCTAGTAACTAGTAAACCACTATCTAGCATGCCTAAAAAGCAGAATCTTTGGTGTATATTTTCAAGATGGTTAACTGTAAACTAGGCATAGTGCTACATACCAGCAGTTCTAGTAATCTGGAGGCTAAGGCAGGAGAATCACGAGTTCAAAGCCAAATTTGGGCAAGACTGTCAAGAAGGAAGAGAAGAGGAGGGAAGAGGAGGAAGAGGGGATCAAAAGAAAAGCTACTTGTTTTATGAGGCTGACAATCTCTTAAGGAGTTGGTTACCTTGAGGAGTAAGTCCCTGTGAACTGATATTCTGCAGAATCTTCACTGTTATACACTAAAGACAATGGCAACTGGACCAAGAGCCTGTCTCTTCCTTCACGTCCCAGAGTGTCTTTAAGAATGACCGTTACAGTCTCATCATCATAAAATTGGGCGTCTAAGCAACTGTAGGTGCTAGAAGTAAAATGTGTTATATCAAAAATGATCATGACCGCTAAGAAAATACAGTATATATAACCTCATTCTGGCATCAAGCAGAAAAAAAGAACTTAAAATATTGACATTCTCTATAGTGACAACTAAAATATCCCATTAGTTTTTACTAAAATCACTAAATTACTTTTTGTACTAAATTTTCCCAATATAACTAGATCTTATGAACAGATAATTATGAGAAAAGAAAAAAAATCTGTGAGGCTGGTTTATAATTCTATAAAACTTGTCATCAATGACTAGGCTGTAAGCCTGTGAAAATTTTATGAGTGACACCTATGCATACCTGAGTGAACAGAGTTAACAGACTGAAAGCAAAAACATTTCACATGTGAAAAACACGTATCTCCAAAGTACCATTAACCGAAAACATTGTAGGGAAAACAGAGTGAGGAGAGAAGAGCCAATGTGAGTGCCAGCTCTTCATCGGCAAAGCTCCAGGAACAGCTTAGCTGCCACTGCCCCTCGGTACCCAGAGAATGAATGTCATTTTTTTTGTTGTTGTTTTTTGTATTTTATTTTTTTGAACAAAAACTTTGGCCTTCTAGGCCACTTGCTTCCTGATCCACATCACCTTCCTAGCTCACAATTATAGGAAAACATAATACATAAAAGGCTAGTAGGCTAGTAGGTTTCTCTCCAGTTGTAAGTCAAACCACTCTCTATAAAATATATCAAGAAGCCTGCCCCTCTGCTGGAGGTGACAGAACGCTTTTGCCCATACCACTCCTGAGTCTGATACCCTGATACCCTTCTATCCCATAACTGCAGTACACAGGCGCACATACTTCCCATGGTATGTGCACCTGTCATCCAAACCAGGCTCAAGACTTACCTTCTTCTGACTTTTTCAGTTGTGGCATATGTGAAGCTCCCAAATTTAACAGCAATTAGTCCATTACTTACAGATCTTGAAGAAAGAAAAAGAGACTTTGTAGAACAAACAGGACAGCCAATAATCTACATGCTTGAAATAAGTTGGCAGTATTAATACACTCAATTAAAAACCAAGTCCCAGATAAAAAGCACTGCACTTTTGCTATAGAATCCTTGTATATGGGTCAAAAAACCCAGATGATGATAAGCCACATTAGTTTAAAATCTTACAGTCATCAAAGTAGCTAGATACTTAACTAAGGACATCTGAAGGGGACAAACTACTTCTCCTTGGCTGCATCTTAGTCTCAAAAACATTTCTTTGTTGAGATTAACCACCATTTAAGATGCTAACGAAATTGTGAACTTAATTTTCCTTTAGAACACATACATGGGATTTCAAGTACGTTTCTGTGGGCAAATCTCTTGTTTAGTGAAAGACAAAATTAATCCAAGATAAAAAGTCTTTCCAGAATGTACCTACTAATGTGACTTTGAATGTCTAAAAGTTCTTTAGATCGAATCACACAGGTTTCTGACTCAGCATCATCTTATTGATGCAAAAACTTCAACTGCAAACAGTTAAGTGCCAAATTTAGTTATGAGGTAGCTTAATCAGAACCTGAACTATTAGAAGGGAAGCTGTATGTTTATTATTAAAGAGAAAAATCTTATCTCTGCAATTCAAACTTCAAATGAATACTTACTGAGAAATATCAGTATGTCTCCTTAAGATGCACATTTTATAAAGCGAATCTTCTAAAATAGTAAAAAGAAGATAATGTACATTTGAAGTTTTATTATTCCACCTAAGGAAGAAAATTTAATGTCAGAATATGGTATTTAGTTCTTAAGGTTAGAACAAAACTAGATTGTTTACAAAAGATGGAAACACACTTACAGAAATGGAAATTTTAACAATCTACGTGCAGAGTCCACACTAAAACAAAAGGAAAACAAAATGAGAAAAATTTTAATTCCAGCTAAATTTACAGCACACACAGGTAAAGAGAATTACCTCCTAGCATCTCTATATAACGGAATACAGATTGCTTGATTCATCGATCTTCCAATTACATCCTATATAAAATAAGATTTAAAAACAAAATTATCAGGACTAGTGATACAGCTCAGTGTTAAGAGTGTTTGGCTAGCATGTACAAGGTGCTGAGTTTGATCCTACCACCATTACCACAACACAAACACATACATACACACATGCAACAAACAGGAAAACCAAAACACCATAATTAGAGCACTTACATGTACAGAGATACTCTACAGAAAATGTGATTGTCACTGTTAAAATTTGGTGAGATAAAAATCATCTATACCATCAAACTGCACATAAGAAACCTTAATGACAGAAACAGTAAGGAAAAGAGAAAGACAATTCTGAGCTGAAAAAGGAGCGAGGGAGCGGGCAGCCAGGCACCGGGCAGGTATCTCACACTAGTCTCTTGACATCCATCATGTCTAAAAACAAGACATGTCTCTGAACTAAGAGTTCAGAATAAGTTTATTCTGAGAGCAAACAAATTACTGATGATGCCAACACTTTCAACAGGCTATTTTTAAAATTTGTGTAAGGAATTAGCAAGATGAGAAAAACTCAACCATAAGAAATTGCACATTCTAATAGCCAAAACCAGTTAAATACTAGCACTTTCATAGAGTTTACCCTAATAATTATGGTCATCTACCTAGGTGACCCAGATAGTCCAGTTTTTCTTGCTCCTACATAAAGACATGCATTTCTTTCAAACTTACTGCTGGCTTTTGCAAACACTGATCAATAATCTTCTCCATCCTTCTTTTCACAAAATGTAATGATTTTCGAGGGTAATAAGGAAACAGCAAAGGACTTTCTGGTTTCAGACAAAAACAGAAATAAAACCACAAAGTTACAGCAAAGCAATGATTAGAAGACTCTGAACTGAAGAGCCAGGACAGTTTACATTGCGGTGGAATTAGTACAATACGTCATACACCTCATAAAAATGACCAGTCTCTGTCTTCCATTTCTCCCCACTGCCAGCTCACTAAACCTACCACATGAGTTTAGGAAAGAAATAGTGGGCCCATGAGATGGCTTGCTGTCAAGCCTGACAACTTGAGTTCAATCCCTGGGACCAACATGCTCAGAGAAATGACTCTCAAAAGTTGTCCTCTGACCTTTACACATATGCTGTGTCACTCCACTCCCTCCTCCCTGTATCAACTAAATAAAGAAACAGACTGGGGAATCAAAAGGTATATAATGAAGCAGTTTGCTCTGCTGTTCTTTACTACAGTGCAATAGCAATGACAGCCCAGCGTTACTCTGAGGAGTACTGTATTAAAACAGAAGCAAGAGACAAAAAACTAGCTCTACCTAAATATCATGTTACTTTTTTAAAAAAACAATTTTATCAGTAGAAAAGTGATATAATTTAGCATTCTGTATGTCCTATTCTGAAATAGTCTTTTGCTTTTATTAATTTATTTTTAACTTAACTAATTTATTATTGTCTTTTTGAGACAGGGTTTCCCTGTAGACCCAGCTGGCCTGGATCTCACAGAGATCTGCCTGCCTCTGCCTCCCAAGTACTGGGATTAAAGGTGTGCACCACCATGCTGGCTTACCTATTTATTTTTAATTATGTGTGTGTACAGCTATGTGTAGGTATGTACATGTGAGTGTCAGCACCCAAGGGTGTCAGTGCCCATATTCCCTAGAGCTGGAGTTACAGGTGGTTGTAAGCTGCCCAACATGGGTGCTAGGAATCAAACTCTGATCTGCATTATACAGTCTTAACTGCTGAATCATCTCTTCAGTCCCAACAAGATTCTTTTTATCTATTATTTCTGCTGCTTATAATAGCTATACAAGGTAAGCATTACATTCTCCAATTTATAGATTAAACAAGAGACTTAGGCAAGTTCAGACAACTGCTTGGTGTGAGAATGTCTACCTAGACCTACAAATCCCAATGGGCCTAACTCTGAAGTCCAGCTTTCCCATGGCTCTGCAGGTGTTCCCAACACATAAAACCTTATGCCCTGGAGGTGCGGGCTAAAATGGGATTTTAAGCCATTAGCCTTTTAACCTCCCAACAGAGACTAGTATCAGAGAAAGACATAGGTTCCTTGTCCCCAAGTCCTGGAATAGTTCCTCCAACCCTTGGAATTCCCCAAGTGATGAGACTGATGAGAGATCTGCTTTACTAGGGCAAGTCTAGAAGGCTCATGAATGGCCTCAGGATGGGGTGGCCAGGATGTCCACACCTTGACAAGAAGCTTATCCTTTCCAACTCTACCTGCCAAACCCAGGAAGGGGCTGCAGGTTGAGCTTACCACCAAAGTCAACGACTTGTTCAATCACATCTGTGTAATAAGGTCTCTATTTTTAAAAACCCATGTTCTGTGGTTTGGAGAGCTTCCTGAAAGCTCTGAGTGTTGTGGAAAGGGCCTGGAAGGTCGGGCCTCTGCTATACACCTAGCTTGGCTGCTCCTGAGCTCCATTTTTTTTTTATAGTAAGCAAACAAGGAAACCCGATTTTTTTTGGGGGGGGGGGGGTTTTTTTGAAACGGGGTCCCCCTGAACCCCCGCCGGCCCGGGAC